ATGAATATTTTTTTTACTAAAACCAAATAAAAACCTTCTGAAATATATATTATGCTTTCTTTGGTTGTCATTGCCGTTCTTTCAAAGTGATGATATAGATTATGAATGATATATACAATAACTGCAAAATATACAAATAGGTTTAATGCACACACCTACATTTATACATGTTTACACATTCTACTTAATTTAACAAATAAGTATTAGGCCAGATGAGGTGGCTCATGCCTGTAATCCCAGCACTTCGGGAGGCCAAGCTGGGTGAATCACCTGAGGTCAGCAGTTCAAGACCAGCCTGACCAACATAGTGAAACCCTGTCTCTACTAAAAATACCAAATTAGCCGGGCGTGATGGTGCATGCCTGTTATTCCAGCTACTTGGGAGGCTGAGGCAAAAGAATTGCTTGAACTCACAAGAGGGAGGTTTCGGTGAGCTGAGATTGTGCCATTGCACTCTAGCCTGGGCAACGAGAGCGAAAACTCCATCTCAAACAAACAAACAAAGTATTGAGGAGCAGAGCATTCTAATGGGTGCTTGAATAAATATTTGCATATATATTCAAGATAAACAGTGGATTATTTGAGTGTAAGTGCCCAAATATGCTATTATTTCTACTGAAATCCACATAGGGTTAAACAGACATAGACAGTTTTAAAATAATGATTGCTTGACAAATTACAGGAGCCTTTAAATTAAATAACACTCTATTTAGAAACCTCAAGATCTCAAAAATAATGCAGAGCTGGTAAATTTAGGACCTTGGGCTTTTGGACACTCTGAAGGCAGACAAGGGGAAAGGGCCCCATACCTAGCAGCAATGTAGAGGGTTCCGTTCATGATCATAATCATCTGGATGTCCAGCCTGTGCCTCTGTGTGGTGTTCCGTCCTGGCTTGTGGCCCACAAACACCGGATACTGTTTTGTATCTGTGAAAAGAGGAGATGGGGCAAGAAAGAAGAAACAAATCAAGCCAGGAATTGACAGGGTAGGGAGGGGAGGGAAACAGGCTACAAAAGAAAGCCGTGTTTAAGTCAGACCATGCCACCATTTTCCATTTCCATATGAGTCTGTTATTTTGGAAAATATGATAGAAGAGTGCTCTTTAAGGTTCATCAAGTTAGTTTCATTTCTAGATGATAATAAGACTGGATTTATATTTCTAAGTGTCACAATTTTTGATTTGTCTCTCTTTCTCAGGGCTCAACTTGCTAGTGAACGCTTTGCATGAAGGTGCTCTTTTCTTCCACAGTTTTCTTTTCATCTTCTGTAGAGCTAAGCCTGAGGGGGCAGTCTGCCAAAGATCTTGTCTCGGGACAAAACTATTTCAAAGCAGCCTTCCCATCAATCAGCACAAATGCAATGTGGTCTGGAGGCGAGAGCCCTTGTCCAGGAGCCAGAAGAAAAATACAGTCTCCACAGGCGTCCAGTTGGAATAATCCACTATTGAAGGCAGCCCTGCGAGGTTGGTTGGCATTCTAGGAACTGTGGGAAGTTCACTCTTGAGTTAAGCAATTGGCTAACAATTTCACAGAAATGTGGGCTTTGACAGGACAGGGTCAAACTGAGTGTAGCCAGTCAGGTGATCTGAAATTTTCCCTGACTTGGTGAGTCAATGAGCATATTTCTCTTTTCCTATAGTTCTCTTTGGCTGAGAGTGGGCAATTTGGATTCAGATCTGACCTTTAAAAATACCTACATTTCAACATCTCTGCCTTTACACTTACAATCTTGAGAGCACTGGTGAGCCTCCAGAGAAACTCGGGAGGAAAGAAAGATGAGCCACATTTAAAAGGCACTTGTTTTCTGAGAGGAGTGGGGGTGTAAATAATGACTAGAACCATTCACAGATTTATGCTCAGACCCTCACTTTACACCCTTGTAGTAACTGACCATTACTCACAATGGGTATCTTATCAGGAGTCTTACTATATTTTATTCACAAGAGAGCTTGGTATAAGACAATCTTGTGCTTTCCCTTCCACTGCTTTGAAATTTCATGTACCCATTCATCAAGGAGATTGCTAAAACAATTCAAATGTCTCCAAGATCATGGACTTGAGTGACCACAGTGGGGTGGTTGA